TTTTCGTATTGTAAGAAGATACCTTTCACAGATCAAATCAGAATGTGGGTTTGATGAGAAATTTTTTCAATTTATAAAAAAAAAAATTTTTATTTTAAGCAATGAACAAAAACATGGAATGCTTTTATTTGACGAAATTATGCTTCGTGAATGTATTCATGTTAATTCAAGTACTCTGACATACTCTGGGTTAGAAAATCTTGGAAAATATTATCCACAAGACCAAAATACAAGTTTAAAAGCAAATCATGGTCTTGTGTTTATGTTCCAAAGTCTATCAGCAAATTTTTGTCAACCAATTGGTGTATTTGCTTCAAAAGGAACTGTTTCAGGTTTAAAATTATATCCTATGATAATATGTTTGTGTATTATATTACTAAACTTAACATTTTTTTGTGTAAACTAGTATCTATGTGTTTGTGAAAAGGTGTTTTCCTTCATGTATAGATTTTATTAATTCAAGTAGATTGTTTTATTGTGTGTAACTACTAACTTTAATAGGAACTTATATTTCACCAGTTACTATAAATGTATTCATCAGACATCTATGTATTAATAGAAAGCTTTTGTATATGTGTAAGTGCTTTGTCCTCTTAATTACTATAATATTTGAATTTGGTATGTACATTTATATTTTATTTTTTGACATTTAAGGTATTGTCTCAGCTCAACTAGTTATCAAAGCTATTTTACTATTAGAAACAATTGGTGTTAACGTTGATGGAATAGTATCAGATGGAGCTCAGACCAATCGTAAAATGTGGACTGAACTAGGTATTACTGGTGATAAATGTAAAGTTCAAAATTATGTTATTCACCCAATGCATGACACTAGCAAACTTTTCATGTTTTCTGATGCTCCTAATTTGATCAAATGTGTTAGAAACAGACTTCACGACAAAAAAGTTCTCAGGGTAATACATTTTGAAAATACTATATTATTTTATATTTATTAACAATTATTGTAATTCCATAGGTTGATCCAAAAAAACCATATGTAAGTTGGTGGCATTACAAAAAATCCATGAACTTGATGTGTCACAAAATATGTCAATTCCTACTAGAATATGCCCAAAAATAACAGATCGTCATATAAATTTAGATAATTTTTCTAAAATGTCGGTAAAACTAGCAACACATGTATACTTATCTGGGAAGTTTTCAATTACTAATATTACTAAAACAAGTTAACTTGGATACAGCTTGGATATAAAAAAAAGCATCACAACTTATATTCTTGCATAATAATTTATAAGAAATGTATTTTTGTAGAAAACTAAATTTGTCTATAGCATTCTTTTAGAATTTTAATATGAGATGTTTTATTAATTAAATAATAATAAAAAGTTAAAAATATTTTCTATGTAGAAAATAGAAATAAATCAACAGAACATCATTTTTATTATGAAAGTAATAGGTATTCACAAAATTTACTTGATTGGTATCCACTATCCAGTATCCACAATTTAATTTTTCTTAGTGTGTTCACTGTATTATTAATTATTATTTAAAGTAGTAGTAGTAACGCGGTGTGGACTGTTGACTAACTAGTAACTATTAATTAAGTTCAATCCACAGATATATAATATTATAATATATATTATAGTAACAATTATAATAATAATATAAACCTAATATCTATTATCTATATATTTTATTTCTAATATATTATTTTATCTGATTGTGAACAGCTGTTTTCAGGATTTCGAATTTTCGTACCAGTGATAAAACCTATTTACATGAACAAGGTAGTAGGTACCTTACTATCTAGTTCATTATAATATTGTTCTATGATAATATTCCGATCTGATCACAGCTGAAGTTCATAAAACGTTCACGAACTATATTATTAAAACAATGCTACCAATTTTTTTTTTTGAACTGTGAACTGTTAAGTTACAGGTACTGAAACAGTTCAGAATAGTTCATCAAAGTGCAGTGGCGGCGTGATAGGGTGTTTCATGAGGCAATTGCTTCACGACCAATTAGGTGGTGGTACCCCCTCCCCCCCGGGAACGGATATTAAAAACCACATATGAAATATGGTCAAGGGGACGGAGTGGTCTAAGGCGTCGGTCGCGACGCAGCCGGTGCCAGCTCGATTCCTTGGTCGCGGGCGGCAATTTTCTTTGGGTAAGTCACGGAGAATAAGTGCCGCCATCTCCCACCCGGGCATGGCAAATACCTACGGGTGTCCCAAATAAAAAATTCTGCCAAAACAAACACACATGTGTAACAAATCTACAGTACCACAGGCTAATGACCTAAGTTGTCGAAGCCTTAACCCTAATAAAAAAATAAAAATAATAAATAAATATTTTCAACTAATGTCTAATACTATTAATTATAATAATTTTATAATAATTTTATTATATTTCTGATATTAACACAACAAAGTATATTATCGTTGTAGAATTGTGAATTGGGGGTGTGGGGGCAAGCCCCCACGAGGCTGTGTGATAAAATTTAGGTGGTGGTGGTCGAGCATTTATACTTGCCTCATAAAATAAAATAGTTCACGCCGCCACTGTCAAAGTGTATAGTTCAAATGAACTATTCGTTCACGAACTTAACATCTCTATAATGCGCTCTCTCGGCGCATCGGGTATAAATCGGGTACTGCGGCGGCTGGCGGTCGACGAAGCCGGCGTCCGCCGTGTCGGTGCGTGCTGCGTACTGCACTACTTCCTAATTCCTATTAATTGCTGTTAGTTAATAGCATAGAAAAATAAGTATGCTTAATAGGACTTCCCAAATCCCAATACGTCAAAGGATAATGACTAACAAACACATCCACATATCTACTTTCGGAAATAGAATTACGTATAATTATGTACTATATCGTCAAATAATTGTATGTGTTGAACTTGATCAGCTGAGCATAAACATTGTCATTTGTCGTATTTTTGTTTAATTATTAATAACATTATAATGGCGCAGAGAAATAAATGAGTGTTCTTCAACTGCTTTAGAAGTAAAGTTGAAGAACCTAGTTTAACATTGTTTCATTTTCCCAAAAATGATCCTATTCGTGCACAAGATTGGGTTAAGAAATCAGGTCCGTAGTATATTGATGAATTAGTCTAGGTATATAAATACATTTACAATATGAACTTTACATAGCAAGAAGCATTACTTTATAAAAAATAAAATAATTTTAAATATAATATTAATTATTATGAAACAAAAGGTGGGCATCCCTAGTAAAAAATTATTTTTTTAAAGCTTTTTAACTTACCTAACTACCTAGTTAATTATTCATTTTGAATTACCATTTATTTTATAATAATATATTATAATAGCATACATTATAAAATCAAAGAAATTATGTAATCACTTAAAAATTTAACTAGGTATTAGTATAAAACAATGTTAAAAAAACTTAGCATTATTCAGTTTATTTAAAAATAATCTATGTTTATATTTGTTAAATTATTAATTGACTATGAGATTTGTATAAGGGGAATTTCCCTAGTCTGGAAATATTTACTTGGACTCTTTATTGTAAAGTTGTGCCACTGTGTTCACTTAACTTGAGTTAATTATTTTTATTAATGAATATATATGTAATTTAATTACATTTGTATTTTCTAATTAAATTTGTTCTGGTTCTTTTTCTCAAGGAAATATGGACTTAACTATTTTAACTCATGAAGAACTTTCTGCAAAATATGTTTGTGCTCACCATTTTTCTAAATGTGACATTAGACAGGCAGTTAATCATGCCATATTGATAAAGACAGCCATCCCCTAAAAATATAATATTGACAACTCTTCTTATGAACTGCATCAATCTACATCATCAACACCATCATGAACAGATCCTTTATTAGAAAATACTCTGGACACTGATGATGAAATAGATTTAAATGTTTTAAAACCGACACTCACATATTTAAATAGATCACCAGAAACACTAACATTTTATTTTTCTCAAACAAATTCAAATAACACTTTAGAGGAAGAGATTACCCTTCGAACTCCAAAAAATGCGAAAAATAAAACTTCAACAACGCCTAATTTATCACCTTCCTCAAGATTATTTATACAGGAAATTATAAATATGCCAACTCCAAAAAAGGGCCAAAATTGTCAGCCTATAAGTTTCTCAAGTAATGACAATCCTGATAAAATTATTGTTGAAACACCAATTAAAATAAAAATGAGAAATGTGATAGAAATTAAAAAAAAAATAAATAAATTGTAAATCATCAATGGTGTGCAAACTACAAACTAAACTCCAATAAATTTAAAAATAAAATAAACTATAGAAGTACTAATTCTAGAGTACTTTCTGAAATGCAAATGTTTCGAGTAAATAAATCTAGACAACCGTAGTTGAAGAAAAGCAATTTGCGATTTCCCTTTTTATAGTTTACCTGGTTTAAGTTCTATTAAAGGATGGTTTGGTAGTTCAAAGTTTTCACCTGGTTTTGTAAATAGTTATATGGAACAAATAAAAATTAAAGTTAATGCGATGGATAATGAACAAAAGTATTGTGTCATTGCTTTTGATGAGATGTCCATAAAAAAATATTTGGAATATTCTAAATACTTGGATGTAGTTGAAGGTTATGACTTTATGAGTATCTTGGACATAAAGGAAGAAATGACAAAGTAGCCTCTCAAGCGTTAGCATTTATTGCCCGAGGCTTATACTCAAAATGGAAATTATCTCTTGCATATTTTTTATCTGCTTCGCCAACTAGATGTCTTGAATTGAAGAATTAAATAAGTGATGTGATTGAAAAAGCTTTGGAGGTATCATTAATTGTTACTGCTATAATATGTAAGGCAGTCATAACTGTGCTGCTCTAAAACAATTAGGATGTACCAAGGAATCTCCTTATTTTGAAGTAAATGGTAAAAAAATATTTTCTTAACTTGATATACCTCACATTTTTAAAAACTAAAGAAATAATTTTTTAAAAAATAATTTAGTTTTTGATGGCAATGAAATATCATTTAGTGACATAAAGACAGCCTATGAAATAGATAAAATGAGTGGAACAAGTAGAACATTGCTAAAAATAACGGATAGTCATATTAATCCAGGTCCTTTCCAAAAAATGAAGTGCAAACTCGCTCTTCAACTTTTTAGTAACACCGTAACTGCGGTTATCAAAACATGTGTAACTACATTACAGATTATGTCTATGACAGGTGCATATACAGCAAATTTTTTAAAGCATAAGAACGATTTGTTTGATTGCTTAAATAGCAAATGTTTGTATAGCTCCAATCCTAAAATGTGTGCATTATCTGAAGAACGGCCTAGACAAATCCAATTTTTAAGTGAAGCAAAAAGATTACGAGGTACGCCGCGGTAGAACGCGAGTGCCTAGCGGTAATCTGGGCAACGGACAAATTCCGACAAAATTCAAAATTAACACGTTTCTCACTACAACTAGCTAATTTAGATTTTAGTACGGTACACGTCCCGAGAATACGAAACGAAGCACCTAATTTGTATTCCCGCGACCCAGCAATGGGTGCACTCGTAGACGAAGATCGACTCGAAGAAAAATTGGTAGGGGCACCTACATTGCCCACAACCAATATTGACTTCGAGTTCGGACCGTATCTTCTCTATGTTCGATAACCACATCAGTGACGACATATCTCTCACCGCGACAACTCTCGAAAAGTGGCAGTCCGAAGACCCCACGATTCGCGACGTAGTCGCCTGTCACAAGTGGAACGGTCCAGAGCAGAACACTAGGATCACAAAATCGGAAACAAACACATATCTTATGCCCGACGATCTCTTACACGTAAACGTAGGCCCCCACATCCCCGTCGTGATACCAAAAACCAAAGCTCAACTTGTAATTTAAAGGTGTCACGAACATGTCTTATAAAACCATCCGGGTTGGAAAGAGACATACCGGGCGGTTCGTTTACAGTATTATTGGAAAGGTCAAAAGAACGACGTAAGGTTATATGTCAGTGCGTGCCACGTATTCGCGTTTAGTGAAACCACTAAACTCGCGTCCTAACGACCCAATACAACCGAGAACCCCACGGCAACCATGGGAAGTTATCAGTGTCGATCTCATGGGCCCATACCCACGCTCTGGCAAGGGGAAATCGTACATACTGGTAGCAACCGACTGTTTTAGTAGGTAGACTGAGGCTTAAGGGTAAGCCCCTTAGGAACAGCAACCTCCAAAACAATAATCGAAACGTTAGAGCGTGAGTTCTTTTCGCGTTTCGGTTACCCACGAGTGTGTCTCAGTGATAACGGCCCACAATTTGAGTCAAACGAAATGATAAACGCGTTAGAACGCTGGAGGGCACAGGGTTGGACGACTCCAGTCTACCACCCGAGGGTCAACCCAATCGAACGCCGTAATCAAGATTTAAAAAAAGGTTTACTCGCACAACTAATCGACGGAAAACACAAAATTGTTATACAATTTTGTTACATTTTTTGTTACACAAAATTACCTTCGGAACAGGTGAAACGAACAGACATGCTATCCACCAACGGTCCTTGTCCTTGGCAGGGAATGCAAGAGACCCGGAGATTAGGCGCTGTCTAAAGCTACTCCGGTTCACATCGGAAAATCACAGGAAGAGAGGGTAGAGCGGGAAAAACGTATTTTAGGCAAAAAGGAAGTGGTAAAACCGAGCGCAAACACCGGCATACCGGTGAAGTTCGAGAAGGACGACGTAGTCTACTACAAAGCACACCATCTATCGAAGGCACATAAAGATTCTCATTAAGGTCATACCTAACCATTAGGGGACCTAACCGGAAAGCGAGGCAAGCCAACAACATCGGCTTGCCAAGCAACCTGCGCCAACCTCACAGCCGGAAGCAGCCAGCACGCCTCCGTCCAAACCTACACCGCCGATAGTGATGGAGGTAGACCCACCGGCGACCAAGAACTAAAAATCCAAGGAGCCGGAACAGTCTACTAGCCAGGCACCACGATACCAATCAGAGGCGACGGAGGCCGTAACCGAGGAAGATCGGTTTTAGGCATTTGAGGGGATGCCGGAGTTGGATTACGCCCACGCGTACCACACTTTGGTAGGGTCCCCAAAACACCAGTAACCACACCCACGGGAGTGGGCAAGTCTACCTCAAGCGGAAGCCAGAGGCAGTACAATCCACCCCGACCCGTAACGGCACGCCGACACTGGTACAAGTGTACACCGTGTGGTGGTTTGGCGGGGGAGTATGACACGGTACACAGGTACCAAAGTCAACCACCAACACGGACTACGATAACGCGACATCGCCAACTCTCCCACCACACAGCAAATGCACAAGGCGCGAAAGGGAGGCAAGTCACGCAAGACAAGTACCGGCCGGCGGCTGACCCTCTCTCGTAATCCGACCGTCACCACGACTACCCGTAGATCCCGCAATCCCTACGACAACCACGTTATCGAACGTCATCTGTATACTACCGTTGTTACCTATTTAGTTAATATCGCTGTACCAACTCTGTTCGAAATAAGTCGTCAATCTTGTCGGATTAAATTTCAACAATAAAAAAACAAACCAAATTAATCGTCCTAAAAATTGTGTTGTGAGTTTTTTTTTCCTATCAACTCCACACCACAAGGTACTACCGGCCTACCACGGGCACTAGAGATGGTAAACTGTGATTTTTTTTCAGTAGCAGAAAAGTTGCTACTTCTATTAAAAAAGTAGCAGTGAAAATAGCAGTGACTGCTACTTCATGTTCTTGAATAATAATCGTCAGTTCTACTTTAAAACCATTGTGAAAAAATAGCAGTAAGTAGCAAGTACTTGCAGTAGCTACTATACTGCTCATTTCCTTATCAGTTTAATGTCATGAAATCGATAATACTATTCTGTGATAGCAGCTTTACCACGGAATTCAAAGGACTTCATCATATATTATTATAGTTTACAATTTATATTATTATAAAATTGAAAACATTGAAAAAATGTCATGTGTATCCCGCTCATCAACCCCCCCTCCCCTCCATACACCGTAAAAACTAAAGTTATTGTTATTTATATATACAATCTTTTGCTCATTAATATGAAAAGCAGGAATTTGCATGTTTAAAACATGTTACTACTTGTACATATAAATTCACCATTACGATGTGGTACTACATTTTATAATCAATAATCATTAATCTGTTGGTGTTGAAGATCGAGGCAGAACAATATAAGTTTGTCTTCTGTACTCCCTTTGTTTTTTCACAAATTATATATTAAGTTTTTTAATTACATTAAAATGAGTTAAGATAGAAGATCAAGTGATATTTCCCAACATTTCCCAAAAATTGACTCTATCCTAGCTAAATGTGATATTTGTAAAAAAAAGTATTCTTACAAAACTAGTGTGAAAAATTAAAACATTTACACCATGCACATTTATTGCATTCATTTTCAAATTCTTCAGAGGTATGTTCTATAAAAGAATTATAATATTTAGTAGTCGTTTTTGCAAAAAAATTTAACTATTGACTTTAATATAAATTAAAATATAATTTTCAATTAAATAACAATAAAATTAGGCTTTATCATATTTTATTTTTTATGTACAGGGTAATGGTAACGTAGATAATCTATCGTCTGTTACACAAATAGTTAATGCTCAAAGTATAGTTGTGGAAAAAATAAGAGTAGTAATAGTTGTCAGAAAACTGTAGAAAATGAAATACCAATTTTGAAAACAAATCCATTTAAACGTAAACAGCTAGCTATAACAAACTATATTCCAAAAAATGTCTATATACGGTCAAAAGAAGATTGATAATGCTTTTATAAAACTTATTACCAAGGACTTGCAACCCTTTAGTGTAGTAGATGATATAGGTTTTAAAGAATTTGTGAATTTATTGAACCCTAGCTATAAAATTCCTAACCGACATGCCATTTCAAAAACACTAATTCCAGCGGCATATGAAAAATGTTTTAATGAAGTCAAAGAGATTGTATCCAATGACCTAGAAATGGCTTGCATGACAACTGATTGTTGGACTTCGCGGAACACAGAGAGTTAAATAGCAATAACTGTACATTTTCTAGATTTAAGTTTTGTTTTAAAATCTATACTATTAAGTTATCATTCTTTTAGCGAAAGTCACACAAGTCAACATCTCAGTGAACAAATAAATACAACTTTAAATACATGGAACTTAAAAAATAAAATAGTCTTAGCTGTATCCGACAATGATTATAATGTACAAAATGCTTTGTCAACATTACAGCTGAAACATTTTGGTTGCTTAGCGCATACTCTTAATTTGATTGTTCAATCTGCAATAAATAAAGAATCTGAGCTCATTAATAAAGTTAAGAGTATTTGTACACATTTCCATAAAAGTACAACTGCTAATAGTAAACTTATGACTTACCAAAATAATAATGGAATTAAGGAACTAAAAAAATGCTGCAAGACGTTTCTACACGCTGGAATTCCACATTCTATATGCTGGAACGTTTCGTGGAATTGGAAACATCTGTAAGAGGTACAATAGGACTGTTAGATAAAGCTCCAAATGGTTTAAATCCAAATGAACGGGCAGTTATAAAAGAATTTTGCAAAGTCTTACAGCCGTTCGAAGATGCTACAAGAGCAGTTAGTGGTGATCAATATATTACTGCATCAATGGTAATTGTAATTGCTCAAGGCTTACAAGATGTCTGCCAACAATTAAAACATCAATATTTATCCATTCAAACCGAAGGTTTAATTAACAATTTAATTAATGGAATGAAAGACAGGCAAAATAGGGGAAACCTTCAAAAGAGTATGACACTTTCTAGGTGTACTTTTCTTGATCCGCGATTAAAAAACATCCCATTTATTCACAATGAATCTATGAAAACTTCTGTCCAAAATAATGTAGTGGAGCTTACAGAAAATATTATTTCTTTAGCTAGATCAGAAACAGAATGTACATTACAACCTGAACCGTCTACTTCTTTCCAGTCAAGTGCATCAGTATCCGATGAAAAATCGTTTTCAATTTGGGAAATGATTGATAAAAGATTTTCTGAAGTCCACCCTGCCATAAGAACATCAACCGCACGGGCTATAATTGAGGTTCAACGATATCTTGAAGAGCCGATCTTAAAAAGAAATGGCAACCCATTAGAATGGTGGCAAGAGCATAAATATAATTATCCTTACCTAAGTATATTGGCTAGGAAGACATTGTGTTGCTTAGGATCATCCGTACCTTGCGAGCGGGGTTTTCAAAGGCAGGTTTGATCATAACAGATCGTCGTTGTCGATTAAAATCAAAAAAAGCTTAAATGCTATTGTTTTGAATCAAAATTCTTGATTTATTAATAAATAATAAGATGTACCTATTGTAATTATTTTTAAATTTTAGCTAGTATATTATAAACTATAACTAATAAGTACCAATATAGATATTTGGGAAGGTAATATAATTATTAAACTTACTATAATATTGTACTTCACCCACGCAGTTTTTTCAAACTGACAAAATTTTCAATGGATTTTTCAGTGTATTTAATTCTCCAGGTAATTATTTATTTTTTATCTATTATAAAATATATAATTAAAATGTATTGTTTTAAAAGTATCGATGTGATTATCTTACACACTTTTATGTATTATACAATTAAATAATATATTTTAATTTTTAACAAGGTATATTTGTGAATTTTACTTCTTTGTAATTAAATAAAAGTAGCAGTCAATATAATTTTCATATTGGAGTAGCATTGTAGCAATAAGTGATTGTTTAATATTGTTTGATATTGCTATTATGAAATCACTGATACTGCTACTTCATGCCATCACTAACGGACACCAAACCAGGATCAACACAGCCGTAGCCGTGTCATGACATTACTTTTACTTAGACAAAAATGACTAACGATGACTAACACAGTTTTGCTCTTTTGTTGTGCGGCCGTCCTAACCTTGCGATTGATGACATAAAAAGGTATTTCGACAGTGATGGCTGAGCTGCTCTCCAACAAGTTGTGCAGATAAAGCGGAGAAATCCAACATGAATATGTAAATCTCGCAATGAGGATTCATCAAATAATTCAATTTGGTGCAATAGATGCTTAGAGTGGTTTCATTTTAAGTGTGTCAATGTTAAAATAACATTTAAAAAAATATATGGTTTTGCAGTATCTATAAAGTAACTTATGATTGATAAATAAACAAACACATATAACTAATATAATGATTCTGTATTTAAAAATACTTACATTATACTTTGTAATTTATATAATTTTATAATTTTTATTTTAAATATTAATAATAATATTGGATCTTGTTTTCACCAAAGCAACTTGCAACCGCAACTCGATTGCAACGCAACCGAGCACATACAAATTAACGAACATGTTCTCACTGGTTGCAACTTGGCCGAAAAGTGATCGAACTTGCACAAAACTTAATTGCAATCGTTTGAAAACTCGACATGTACGGTTTTTTTCTGCAGTTGCTTATTAATAATAAATTACCATCATTAGTTTTATTTTTTTAATAATTCACACATTATTAACATTTGTATTATAGCTCATGAGCAAGAGAGAAACATTTTTTTTTTGTTCAACAAATCAAACAATATTCATTGTCTTTATGTCTTTATGACATATGGTCTCCAAGTTACACCAGGACCGATAAAAAATAAAGAGCTTGGGAAGATATAGCCAAACAAAGTAATGAATCTGGTTAGTATTTTAGATTCTGAGGGGAGCGATGATGTGTGATTTTTAATATTTTTTTTTGTGTGTCTGTGTATACACAAGATGTAGTCGAAATAATGCTTCGATTTTCAACTTCAGTATCTTTTCCGTTGTGAAAGTGAATCTAGTTGGTACTTTTGGGAGATCAAAATTTAAAGTAGTTTTCAAAAGCGCCGGGAAGAACAAACAAGAAATTAAGGAAAAACAGAAATTTTTTTGCCGGAAAAGGTATTTGACTAAATCGAATTTGGTTTGTGGCGTAACTCATGACCATTTTAAAAAAAACGTACAAAATGAAAAAATAACGGTGTGTTAAGACACGCAAAAAGTATGTAAACAAACGAGAGCGCAAAAAACAAAAATGTTGTGTGTGTATTCAAGAACCTAAAAAAGAATCAGAACACTTTAGTACTTACGCGCTGTATACAAACACTGTCACCGTTTCCCGGTCGGCGGTGGCGTAGGTGAGTGGGAGCAGCGGCGGCGACGGTGTCGGCGGCTCGCGTTAACAGCGGCTAGTGTTTTGACGAGTTTAGTGGTGGGAATGCGCGAGAACGAACGAATTTTGGTTGCCGCCCAGAAGCGCTCTTAGAGTGGCCCGAGGATATAATTGTCAATACAATTTTATTTGTTGGGTAAAAAAGCTTGAAAATGTAATACAATGCTCCTAATATATTGTTACAATGACATTTGAAAAATATTTAAAATCCATGGTCACAATTTTTATACACGCATTTAAAATCTTTAAAAAATCACATAAATGTGTAAGTATGTTATTTTTTTTGAAATTCATAAAAATTTTTCTTCTTAAATCTAATAAATTAAAATATAATACAAGATTTCTTAGAAGTTTGTCTACCATTATCAAAAAAAAAAAATGTCCTTAATTACTACAGTAACTACATTGGATAAACTCGCTTTCTCAAGTAGCGATTTTCTTATTTTCTTGTATTTCAAAAACCAATAACCCTTGAGACTGAATTTATATCATATATTTATTTAAATTATTTAAATTTAAATTTAAATTTATTTAAATTTAATTTAGTGTTTCTGAGCTGTTTACGGACATTTTCAGTTTTAAATTTTAGATTCTGTGCGGAGCGAGGAAGCTAGTGGTTTTACAATGGTGTTTATTTTTTTATTTATTTTATTTTTATATCCTGTATACATAATTTCTACCAGAAAGAGTTCTTCAACTTCAACATATCTTCAGTACCTTATCTTTTAGCAAATTGGATCAAGATGGTACTTTAGAGAGGTCATTTTTCGACTTAATCAATAGTTATTTAATGCTACGGTAAAAACCACCTAAAAATTACGAAAAACGGCTAAAAATGGGATTTCAATTTCTAATGCTTTGTTTATCACCATAGAAACGAATAAATAATGATAATATTATAATATTAATTCAACTTATATGATATTATAATAATTAATGAAAATATAAAATATCCAGACTGACAAACCGTCTCCGGTTAGAATTGTTTTTCTTATACAATGATAGAATATCATTGGATTTAAGTTCAATACAATCTATTACAATGACCCACTTGTAACCTACTGTATAGCAGAGCGACACCCACTCACCCGCTTTTTTAGTTTTTTTTCTATAAATATCATTAAAATTGTATTTGTTGAGTAAAAAATTGTGAAAATTTAATACAAGGTTCCTGACATACTGTTATTATAGCAGTTGTAAAATATTAAAAATACTTGTGCACAATTTTTTTTTATAAACATTTAAAGTTTGAATTTTGACAAAATGTAATAACTATTTAACAGTTAAAAATGTATACAAAGTTAAACTTTTAATGCCAAGGATTGAAAATTTAAAACAAGGTCCATGTAAATAGGTCATATACTCATATATAAATTAAATTATTCTCAATAATAGCCCAATTTTATAGGTACTTAGGGCCCGTTTTACAATCATAGTTTAAACCTCGGTTGGAGTTTAAACCTGGTTCAAATCAAAATGGGCGTATTACAATATCTTAACCGTGGTTTAAACTGAAGTTCACTTGAACCACCGATTTCAGTGAGTTAACCGGGGATCAACGTTGATCTGCGATTTGATTGGCTGTCAGTTATCAATGGAAATTGCAATTCATTAATGTTGATTACAGGGAATTCTGTTAAATTTAAATTTCGTTTATTTTCACAATTGCAATTTGCAATTGCTTCTTTGTTGCAACTACGGTATTTCGTTGTCTGACATTCTAACTTTTGAAAAATTATGATGGATACCAAAAGAACCCCAAATTTCACGAGCCAAGAAGAAGAGATGCTGCTTCTACTGGTATCAAAATATAAAAGCATTCTTGAATGCAAGACCACCGACAACATACAGAACAGGTAGGTACCCCACAAAATTGTACCTATTAAATACAATTGTCATGATTATTTTATACTGCCTACCCGTTATTTAAACATACTCATCTATTCAAGTATAAATGCCAACAAAAAGATAAACGTTAGTATTTATAATTGAATTTCTTCTACGAAACTTGTGTCATATATGTTTAATGTTGCGATCAGTGTAGCTTGTGATCAGTCAATACTGTAATAACTAATAAGTGCTCAGCTCAATGAGTTTCAATTTTTTTGTTTGAGATGCATTGTTTTATATTTTGTTTATTTGGTTAAACGTTGAATAGGTAGTTGGAATTAGCACAGTAATAGTTTATGCTAGTAGTACTTGAATATTTTGAAAAAAACTTTTATTTTATTAGTGATTGTACCTATTTATTTATTCATTCTTTTATTAATATATGAATTTCACTTTTACTTTAGTGTTTTCTACCTATTTAGAATGTGGATTTGCATCTAATTTTATAAAATTATCAATAATTAGTCCACTTGATTAGGTATTATAGGACTCAAATAAAATATTTCATCAGGTAGATATAGTAACCAAAAAAAAATCAAATTCCACACGAGATTTCACTTCCAGAAATTTGCAAAAATAATATGACTAGGTAGGTATTATACTAATATTGTTTTTTTCCTAGGAAAAAAAATGACACCTGGAAAATGGTTGAAAACGATTTCAATAGAAATCATGCGGGGAATGTTGCAAGGACTGCATTAGTTCTAAAAAACAAATATTGTAATTTAAAAAAAAGATTACTGAAAAAAGTTGGAGACGAAAGAGCAGGCATAAGGGGTACTGGTGGTGGACCGTATCTTGAAGTGAATTATGACGAAAATGAGAAGGCTGTTTGTGAAATACTGGGTGACAAACGTCTTGGACGACAGTCTTCTCTGTATGATGACAATAATGGTAAGTAATATACATTTTTAATAACTTCAATATTGTTCATATTACTACTTGAGGTAACATGCTGTTTTGTTCATGTATATGTTAGCACAATGCAGTAGGCCATTAGAAAATTTTGTCCCTCTACTTGATGGTACTTCAGTAACTATAAACAACACCATGGTAGAAGAAGTGTACGATGAAGGAGAGGATGTTGTAAATGATGTATTTACTGGTAAATTAGTGCTTTTTATTATATTCAAATAGTATTTATATTTTAATAAGTACATTTATGTGTTATTTTATTTTTGGTTGTAGACACTGTACTAGAAGAAGAAAAAAGAGAGGAAATTACTAAATGGTCAGGTAATACAACACCTTTGCTTCGGACAAAGCGCAAAGAGTGTTTAACTCCGAATGAAGGTAAGTGAAATATCAAAATTAAGTCATACATAAAATACCCTGAATAATAAAAATCTTTTATACTGTGTCTTCAGGGCCAATATTAAATACTTTAAGGAAACAAAGGTTCAATGACCAAATGTCATCATGGGCATCTGGGAAAGCAGACCTTGCTAAAATGCAAGAGCAATCACTAAGTGACCTAAATGCATTAAAAATGAAACTAATGAAGGAGGAGAGTGAGGCTCGGATGACAAGGGAGGATAGATTAAGCCGATTACAAGAACAAGAGGTGCAGTTGCGTATTGACATTTTAAAAATGGAAAAAACACATTTAGAAAAAAAGCTAAAAAATAATTAAACTTATTTAAACCTAACCATTATGATTATGATATATTTTGTTAATTGTTTATTATTATTATTATATTTAGTTATTGTGTTTTATGATTATGATATATTTTGTTAATTGTTTATTATTATTATATTTGTTAATTGTATATAATAGTTTAACTGTTATATGTTTATGGACTGTATGATTATGATATATTTTGTTAATTGTTTATTATTATGATATTTGTTAATTGTATATAATAGTTTAACTGTTATATATTTATGGACTGTTTGTATAGTATGTTCTGTTTGTATTGTGTTAGAAGTCAAATGTATTCAACTTCATGTACATGTGATAAAATATAATATACACATTTTATATATACTATCAATTATTTTTTGTTTGATTAAAAACAGTTATTATGCTTGTATATATTTTGTTATAATTTCCAAGTATACTCACTTAAGCGTACAAATTGGCTTATTTAAATATTGTAAGACTGTAAGGGCCCGTATTACAATAGTTGAACTCCGGTTAAACCACCGAATTCGGCCGGTAAAATCAGTGGTTCAAGCGTAACCGAGGTTTAAACTATGATTGTGTTACTAATAGGTTTTAAACGAAGACAAACGAATTGTACTTACTAAAGCAGTTTTATTAAAATGCATAAACAAATAACAACAAACATACGAACATTACGAACAGAGCCCACAACCGGTACTCTGCGACTGACTATAACCATGACTGAATGGTCAAGCCCTTTTCAAAAAACAGGGTAGCCAACACTCGGCCATCCACCCTTACTTATCGACCTCGATAAGTCATTATATAAAACAAACTCAATTAAATTAATATTTTAAACAAATCTAAACAAATCAGTTCTTTAGATGGACTTAACTAAATTAATATTCTAAACAAAATTAAACAAATCAGTTCTTTAGATGGATTTAACTAAATTAATATTTTAAACAAAATTAAACAAATCAGTTCTTTAGATGGACTTAATTAAACATAATCTTCTAAATACTTTGGTGGTTTTCTTTGACGTTTAAGCTTAACAGTTTCTTCCACCCTTGGTAGATCAGCATTTGATTTGTTAGTCTCTTCATCTTCATCTGCTGATGACCCACTTCCTTTTTCCTCAAGCTGCTCCTCTTGCATTATTGAAACTGCCTTCAACTGAGACACATGAGCCGTTGTAGCATAAATGTGTTTACCATCCCTTGCCATCTCAGCGACTCGATATGTGTTTCCAGGTAGTTTCCCTATAACTTGCAATGGGCCCCGATACTTGGTCTGAAGCTTGGTAGATTGACCTGGGGTAGGTGCACGCAGCATTGCCACCATTTCTCCAACTTCATAGCTTATCGATTTGTTCCTTTTCTGATCATATCTTTCTTTCATTGATACCTGAGTTTTCAAAATGTTATCTCTTGCCTTGGCCTGTAACTCTACTGAATTCAAAGGCTGATGTGTACCAACACCATCTAGTAATCTCAGCACGCTTGAATGAAACTGAGGCCGGTATCCGTGGATTAACTCAAATGGTGTGTATCTGGTAGTCTTACTTTCCGTGTTGTTTATGTCACGTTCAACTTCTTTCAGCTTCTGATCCCATAATTTTTGATCTTGTGCTTGAATTGCAAGCATTGGCAATAAGGTTCTATTGGTCCTCTCCACTTGTCCATTTGCTTGCGGATGTCGAGACGAGTTGAGAGTGTGCCTGATCCCATTATGTTGACAGTAATCCTGGAACGCCTTGGAAGTAAAGCATGTCCCTCTATCTGTTATCAAACGATCCGGCAATCCCCATTGATCAACAAACTTCTGTAAACTTCTAATAGCTGATTGAGTGTGAGTGGATTTTGCTGGAAACAACAATACATATTTGGTAAGGTTATCTATTAACACTAATAAAAATCTATTGCCCTTCAAACTGGTTTCAAAAGGTCCCAAATGATCCAAGTGAACAACTGCAAATGGTCTTTTTCCAGGGGGAATAGGGTGTAACTCTCCTGGTTGTTTTCCTCCAGGCTTCTTGTTGACCAGACAATCCAAACATCCACCGATATGCATCTGTACATACCTACGCATTTTTGAAAACCAATAGTGTTCCTGAATTTTCTTTAGTGTCTGATCCAATGCCCTATGACCTGCCATATCATGGGCCATTATCACTATCCCCTTTCTCAGAGGCTTAGGTACCACAAAACGACTTATCCCCTCTAAATCTCGATACAATACACCATCCAACAACTTGAATTTATTTACAGCGTTCCTCTCATATGGAGTTCGGTCACCTTCACCCCTCTCCAATATGTTGATTAATCGACATGTATCAGGATCAGCTTGTTGCATGTATCGTACACGTTCTTCCAAAGTCATTAATGTCATAACCAAGGATCGATTATCCAATGCCTCTTCTACTGCTTGTACACTGTCCGTAGTACCTTCCAAACGACTCAATGCATCAACGTGAGCCATCCGCTCGCCTGATCGGTACTTGATATTCATTTCAAATTCTTGTAGTAGATCGAACCAACGAGCCACCTGTGGCTTTGCTGACTTGTTGGTGTTCAAATATACCAAAGCCTGACAATCAGTCACCACTGTGAATCTGATTCCAAGCAGATATGGCCTCAATCGAATTAACGTCCATACAATCGCGTATAATTCAAGTCTACTGGAGTGGTAATGTGATTCCGCTTCGGTTGTTCTTTTGCTCACCGCATACACTAAGTGTAGTGATTTCTCAGTGTCACCCTGCATTAACATGCCCGATAGACCTTTTGCGCTAGCATCTGTGTGTACTTCAGTCACCGGTGATTCGTGATTGTATAATTTCAACACTGGAGCAGATGTCAGTATACGCCTCAATTGTTCAAATGCTCCTTGTTGTGCATCCGTCCATTTCCATGGTAGATCCTTCTTCGTCAAAGCCGTCAGTGGTGCAGAAATGTCCGCATAATGTGTTATGAAACGACGGAAGTATCCTGTCAATCCGAGGAATCTTCTTAGTTCATGGACATTTTTTGGTCTTGGGTAATTCTCAATTACAGCTATTTTCCGACCTGGACGCAGCTGACCTTCCTTAATATTAAAACCTAAGTAATCCAATTCAGTGACTCCAAAAGCACACTTGGTTGGGTTCAAGGTTAACTTAGCACGTTCAAGAGCTTGAAATACTCTTTCCAATTTCCTACACATGTCTCCCCAATCTGTTGCTGGAATAATGACATCGTCGATGTAACAACGAACAACACCTTCCCTCTTGAGAGTTCCCAACACCTGGTCCATCAATCGGCAAAACTCAGCTGGAGCATTTCTCAAACCAAAAGGCATACGTTCGAACTTGTATACTGCATCAGGAGTGATAAATGAAGTCTTGTCTTTCGCTCCCTCAGCCAAAGGTATATCCGGCATTGGATATGACTGTGATATTGTCTGACTATTCAATCTCCTGAAGTCAACACACAACCTCTTCTTTCCATTTGCTTTATTGACCAATATGACTGGTGACGCATAAGGAGACCTGGTCTTACTAATTATACCACTCCTGACCCATTCGTCAGTAATTTCCGCTATCTGTCTTCGCTCTTGTTCGGATGTGCGATACGGCTTCATCGATACAGGCTTACTGTTTTGTTCTTCCATTATCTCCATTGTCACCAAATCCGTGCAACCCAATTCTTGTAAATTTAATGCAAACACTGCACGATACTTATTCAGTAACACTGTTAGTTCTTCTTTTTGCATGGAGTCAACCTGACTGCCTATTATCACATCATCTGTTGACAGTGACACTTTTGATGTTGACTGTTCTTGCACCAAGCATACTTGAACTCCATGTTCATGCTTATTAATATTGGCACATATTGATTCCACGTCCATATCTGCGTACTCAACGACAAACGTGTCATCTTGTTTGTGGTAAGTAATCTGAGGCAAATTGAGCCAAGACTGTCCAATCAATACTTCTACTGGAATTGCTTTGTCTTCAACTACTAAGAATTGCACCTTGTCCGTCTTAACCCCATCGATAACCAGCTCTCCCATTACTTCTGCTAATGAAGTGATTCTAGGTGTCTTCATATCACCCACAGCATACAATGGTTTGATTGATGACACTATTGGTAATTTGGTCCGTACAGCTGCAGACGATCGGATTAAACATACTGTACTACCTGAATCAATGAGTCCATTGAATTCAACTTGGTTAATTTTCACTTGTTTCCCAAACGGATTCTTCCCTGCACACCCCGCCACCACAACCTGGCACGTTCTGGCAGGATGTTCTTGCTTAACAGAAGGACATTTGCCCCGAGTATGTCCTTCGGCGCTACACAATGAACATTTCATTGGTCGTTTTGGTCTTGGACAATCGCGCGCTATGTGTCCAAAACCAGAACAATTGTAACACTTAATTGTACTGTGTCGTGAGTCAGATGTCGGTGATTCTGTTTTCGTAGTGGTTCGTGTCGTCGATGTGAACTTACTTGGTTCTGCCTGGTTACTTGTTGTTTCTTTTTTTGACCACATCTTACTATGATCGACTTTAGTAATTACGGAAGTGTTTGGCTGATCTCCACGACGATCAGACTGACGTTGCCACTCCAATATATCTATGAGTAATTGGTCTTCGTCATAGTGCTTCCTTCCAAATGCATACATCGCGAGTTCCCGAGATAAAATGCCCTGTAGAACATAATCGCGAAGTTCTTCGAACTGTAATCTGACACCTTTGCACAACCGCACCTTATCTTGAAAATATGACATCAGTGATTCATCCTTGTGTTGTACACGACTGCGCATAGCGTCCCACTTGTCGGCCATGCGTAATTCACGTACGAACACTAGTTTAAACTTCTCACGAAACGTGGACCAACTCACAAAATTTTTCGATAAAAACCAATTACGTGCCGCATCAGACATATTCGAACGTACAAAATGTAGACAAAATTTGGATGGCCACCGATTCAAATCAGCTAAACCCTCTATCGTTTCCAACCAATCTTCGGCTACGTGAGAAGGTTCCAATCCAGTAAAACATTTCACTGACTTATTGACGTCTGGGATGACACGAAACTCTATCGATTCATCATTTGTCTTAGTGTTCAATGGTGTCTCGTCATTTTTCACATTTACCAGTGCTAATTCATCTTCTAGCTGTTTGAGTTTAGCTCGTTGCTCGTTCACTAATTGGTACAATTCATTATACTTAGGTGCTGTAATTTCATCAACGTGATCACTCGACATCGTCACAACAAACGATTCGCTCAAGACTGACAAGAAAATCTTTGTGATAACAACGGCTTATCACATGTAAACATAACCAGCTTATCAGCTCTACTAGCGATGCAGTCATCGATTGACACACCGTAACGTCAACTTATGCGCCACCGTTACTTCCTCCGCACACTATTACCACTAAACCTCGTGGTTTCGCAACACCAGTAGCGACTAATGAATGTAATAAGCACCAACCGTCTTCTGTGTTAAAACAAAATCAAAACGGCAACTACACTCGCGAACTATGGATTTATGATCCCACTTCTGAAAATGTTACTAATAGGTTTTAAACGAAGACAAACGAATTGTACTTACTAAAGCAGTTTTATTAAAATGCATAAACAAATAACAACAAACATACGAACATTACGAACAGAGCCCACAACCGGTACTCTGCGACTGACTATAACCATGACTGAATGGTCAAGCCCTTTTCAAAAAACAGGGTAGCCAACAATTGTAAAACGGGCCCTAAGAGTTTATGAAAAATATTAAATTTGTGTACAATTTATGGCTGATGAATTTTAACTTACAACATTTGGATATGTGACTGAAGTCAAATTCGACTTGCACCATTTGCAAGAGGATAGTATTATTTGAAATAGAAATTATTTAAAAAAACAGATTAATTTTGATTTTAATTTTTGAATAATTATATAATTTACCATTCTTCTATTTTACTTCTAATCACAAATTATTACACACATACAATTATTTGATTAAAATATTTTAATATTACTATTACAATTTAAACTTCAAATAGAGAATATGTGTATATATTTTTTCTTTTTTTCACTTGTCTAAATCTAAAAATTGTAAGGCGTTAACTTTTAATATGGTAATTAAGATCAATAAATTAATACAAATAATACAGTATTAGTTGATAGTTAAGACTTGTAGTTACACAATGACACTCAATTAAAATAATGCAAATTAACCAACAGTTCTGTTGAGCATAGAAAACAAAAGAATTTTCAATTGATTTTATTTGGTATAATATTTTCAATCAGTGTCTTATGATGTGGTACAACTGCACTACTGTAATACACTTATAAAAGCTGATTTTTGAATTATGAATGTTTTCAAGTATTATTTTAAAACTTTAAAAGTATATGACAAGGGTTTAAAATCAATAACAATAAAATGTACTTACATAAATATTGTTATATTACAAAAATGTAAATAATAGTTATACATAATGTACATAAATATTGTTATATTGCAAAAATGTAAATAATAGTTATACATAATTTACATAAATATTGTTATATTACAAAAATGTAAATAATAGTTATACATAATGTACATAAATATTGTTATATTACAAAAATGTAAATAATAGTTATACATAATGTACATAAATAATTTAGTAAAATTAAGTAATTACAGTCTTAAAAATGTCGTTAAGACCTGATATTATTCTGGACTTAAGCATCACTATCCCTACTCATAAACTTTCAAAATAACGAACAAGGTTATTTCTCTGAAAAGTCGCATCATTGTTAGGATTTTGTACAGCGTCTCTTGTACTGAATGTGCTCAAATCAATCAACTCTTCCAACTGACTGGAAACCCGTGGAGTTTGGTCTCCAAAATAGCAAGCTATATTATGAAGCACAGCAGTGGCAACTATTATGCTTTCGACAAATTGCAGATTTATATTTATACCAAGAGCTAGTACTGGAAATCTTTTCTTCCAAACGCCATAACTCCTTTCTACAGCATTTCGCGTTCTTATCTGTCCTTCATTATATATATTTTGTCCTTCACCATTAGGATTGAGAAATGGGGTCATCAAATAGTTCTTCAAACCATAACCACTATCACCAACCAGTATGCTATTACTCATTTCTCTTCTTTCAAATCTACCCCTAATGCTTGAATGATTGAAGATAGTAGAATCATGAGTGCTTCCTGGAAATGTACAAACTATATTCTGGATTCTGAGATCTGCGTCACAAATGGTTTGTACATTGATTGAGAAATATCCTTTCCTATTTCTATAAATTTCTCCGTCCAATCCACCTGGAGATATAATTTTGACGTGTGTACAATCAATTGCACCTATACATTTAGGGAACTTAGCGACGTTAAAAAATTTTTGTCGTACTGTATCAATTTCTGCAGAAGTTGATGGAAAATTAATAAATTTGGGTCTCAATAAAGCTATTTCATGGGAAACAAGTCGTATAATTTGACTGGCAGTAGACTTATGAACTCCTACAAAGTCACCGCACACAGCTAGGAATGATCCGGTAGCATAATACCGCAAGGTAATTAGAAGTTTTTGTTCTGGGGTCACAGCATTGTTTCTGTAATGAAAAGCAACATTTATGAATTTTATATATTTAATATATATATATATATATATATATATTGGGTTTAAGTCGATGCCACACCGGCATTAGAGAGTCCGTCTTGCAAAAGCATAACTTGGCAACATTTTGGATCAGTAGGAACAATTTTGTGGTATGAGTTTTAATTTTGGATTGAATTGGCTTATGATGAAACTTAAATGAAGACCATTATCAGTGTTATCTCTGAGTTTTTTTTTTACGATATTTTAGTTTTATATATGTACATATAACTTGCTTGAAAATTAAAATATTGTAAAAAACCAACGAGAACACGGATAATGATCTTCATTTGAGTTCCATCATAAGCCAATTCACTCTAACATTAAAACTGACACCACAAAATTCATCCTAGTGAGCGCAAATTTTTCTATGTTGTAGGCTTGTAAGTTGTAAGACGTAGACCACAGTACCACAAATGCGGGTGTGACGTCCTCTTGATAGTAAATTATAATGATTATACACTGTACCTATTTGTTGGTGATGATATTCGTTCTTTAATGTGATTTAGAATGAAATAAACACTTGGTTTAGAAAGTCTAAAACGATTAAAAAATTGTACTTTATTAGTAAGAATATATTAAACATACAAAGTATGTACAATCTCAAAATTTTACAAATTATTTTTGTGATATGTAATAAAACAGTCTCTACATAATATATATAATAATTATATATATTACATTCATCACAACGTGTCAAAACTTTTCTTGTCTTATTTTGCGCCACATTTCTTCCTAATGTTGTTGATATGGTCGCATAACACTTCTTTGTAATAATATTTTTATTTAATCCTGCTTGGACAAAATCATAATTACAATAAATTATTTGGCTATTATCTATACACACTGATACTTTAAAGCTTAAAAAAAATTAAAATTACAAATTAAAATAATTTAACATTAAAAAAAAAAATGATTTCTGTTTACATATAAAATTAATAAAAAAGTAATATCATAATTATTATTAAACCAATTTATTTATATATTTTAAGGATTATCATCCATTACATCACTACCAGAATCCATGCAACTACTACATACCTTTGAGTAATGTTTTCCACATACCCAATGATTGCACTTATCACAAAAATTCCTTGTTCTTTTATCTTCCGATCTAGGACACAAAGCACATCTTCTAATTGAGCCCTTTTTTTGGGGAGATTCTGTGCGGTTTCCACGAATGGTATACCAGATACACGTGCAGCTTTGTACCGTATTATTTTTGGAAGATTTTGAGTGGCAGATCTTTTAAATACCTGAGGGTTAATCAACGACATAGCCAAGTTTCTCAGATATACGCGACGTTTTAGAGTATTTGAAGTCAATTGATCGCAATGGTACAATATTTCTGAATTTATTCCTAAAAAATAAAAATAATAGATACATCAAAAAATTTGTAGACAATAAATATGAAAGGAGTATTATAAACGTATAATGTATACCTGCAGTATTTATTAGATGAAAAAAAATCGTCAATGGCCATCTACGATTATTTCTTCCTACATCATATGAACCACACATTTCATCTACCGTTGTAAAAAGTGATAATTTCAGGTTTTCTAGCATCAATTGTTGATTCGTCAATAGCTGCGTCATGATGCATTGATGATAAAAGTATAACTATTTTATTCGGCTTTTTTTATAGGATATAAGAGTAAGGTCTTTCTGAAAACCAATTATAGTACTATTTAGCTCACGATTTCTTGAAAATTGCTGTTGGAAAACAACTGGAATTTATTTTTTATTTTTCCGCATCGTACCATCTAATGTAATTTTGTTTTTCAATAAATGTTCAGCCAATGGAATGCTGGTATACCAATTATCTGTGGTTAAGTTTCTTCCAGATCCTAAAATTGGATTCATCAATCGCATAACTACATCAGATGGAGAGTTTGAAATATTATAAGGGCCAACTGATTGCTTTGCACAGTAAACTTCCATATTCCACGTATACATAATTTTAGCGTCAACTAGTGCAAATATTTTTACACCATATTTTGCTGGCCCATTGGGCAAATATCTCTGAATTGGCACCTACCTCGAAATTTGATCAGTTGCTCATCTATTGTTACGTATTCTTATGGCGAAAAACATTTCTTACAATTTTCAACAAATAATTCAAAAAGTTCTCTAATTGGAGCTAATTTATCTATTTCACGTCGTTGAATACGATCACCCATGTCATCAAACCTCAGGCATCGAAGTAGAAATCGGAAACGCTTAAGGCTCATAGTTACATGAAAAATTTCAACTCCAAAACCAGACTGATCCCAAAGGTCTTCGAGATTTTACCGTCATGGGGGCCAATTCGGTGTCGGCACCTATGCGGTCGGGACATTTGCGGTCCGCACCTTTTGCGTGCCATTTGCGGTCAATTTATTTCTATCTACCTGTCTATAAGATTTGGGTGCTATATATAATATTTTATATACTATATACTTAATTTAAGTTAATAGGTATAATATTATAATACTTTTTTACTCTAATTGATATAATTATATACTTGTCAATCAAAATTCACTGTATTTACATAAAAATAATACCCTAATTTTTTTTAAAACCTTATTATAATTATTATAAAAAAATGATGTCATTATCGATAAGGTGATAA